GGCACCACAGACTCGGTCATCCCTCTCTTCCACGTCTCCGCAGCATGCACTCCCGTCTCCTTGTCCCTGGCCTCCCTAGGTCCCTGCCCCCCCTCTCACGCTCGCCTGCCCCTCCGACTACTGCTCCTCTGCAGACTCTCCACATGGATGTGTGGGGCCTTGCCCCCATCAGTGGGATGAACCAGGAGTGCCACTTCCTGCTGGTTGTTGACAACTACATGTGCTATGCAACTGTCTTCCCCTTGTGCAGCAAGGCGGACGTCAGCGGTGTAATGATCCCATGGATCTGGCGGGCCTTTCAGTCATGCGTCTGCACTCTGACAGGGGTGGTGAGTTCTCTTCCGGCTTCCTTGCGAAGTTCTGTCGAAACGAGGGCATCCGCCAAACGTTCATGCTTCCGGCCTCTCCGCAACAAAATGGGATTGCTGAGCGTCGCATTGGCTTGATCATGGAGGTTGCTCGTACCTCCATGATCCATGCGGCTGCTCCCCATTTTCTGTGGCCGTTTGCGGTCCAATATACCGCGCATCAGCTCAACCTTTGGCCCCGTGTCTCGTTGCCAGAGACCTCGACCACACTCTGTTGGACGGGAAAGGTTGGCGATGCGTCGGCGTTTCGGGTCTAGGGCGCGCTCTCCCTTGTTTGTAATACCACCGCGAGCAAGCTCTCTCCTTGCACTTTCCGCTGCGCCTTCCTAGGCTTCCCCACTGATGCCCCACCATGGCAGTTTTACTTCCCTCCCACGCGTCGAGTCTTGTCCTCCCAGGCGGCCACCTTTGACGAGTCCGTCTATTTCTATAGGCTCCACCAGCACGCGTCCCACCCGGTCCCCTTGGCGCCACTCTTCCTGGTACCAGTTCCCCCCTCGATAGACTCCCTCTCCCCCCACAGGATCCTACTCCCTCAGGTGTGTCTCAGGTAGACCCACCCTTCTTTGTTGAGCCTCTAGAGATCTCTTCTAACTCCTCTGGCCCTGCTGAGGGGGGTGACCCCGCCGGTGACGACACGGCGGCCACTCTCCGTTCTCCACGCTTGGAGACCCCTCCTGGTTTTCCGCCTCGACCTCCTTCGCCGCCTCTGCAGCATGTAGCTGTGGACACTGGTGCTGCTGGGGGTGGTGACACTGGGGGTGAGGGTTCTGGGGGTGCTGAGACTAGGGGTGCTGAGACTAGGGGTGAGGGTTCTAGGGGTGCTGACTGTGGGGGTGTTGACTTTGGGGGTGGTGCGAGTCCTAGTGGTGGTGGGGCCGTGGATGCTCCTACTGCAGGTCTTGGCGTTGGACAGCAGCAGCCGCCTAGTTGACTAGAGATGCCCTCAGCACAACTGCTTCGTGAGTGGGTCGTTCGGCAAGGCCGCTCTGGTGCTGGAGCTTGGAGTTTCCTAGACGCTGGAGCTGCTGGTGCTGGAGGTACTGCTGGAGGTGCTGTTGTTGCTGGAGCTGCTGGTGCTGGAGGTACTGCTGGAGGTGCTAGAGCTGCTGGTGCTGGAGGTACTGCTGGAGGTGCTGCAGGTGCCGGAGCTGCTGGTGCTGGAGGTGCTGGAGGTGCTGCTGGTGCTGGAGGTACTACTGTAGCTGCTGGTGCTAGAGGTGCTGGAGGTACTACTGGTGCCAGAGGCGCTGGAGCTGGAGGTGCTGGAGGTCCTGGAGGTGCTGGAGCTGCTGGTCCTGGAGGTGCTCGTACTAGAGGTGCTGTAGCTGGCGGAGCTGGTGTGCTGCTGGTGCTGGGGGTGCTGGAGGTGCTGCTGGTGCTTGAGGCGCTGGAGCTGGAGGTACTGGAGGTACTAGAGGTGCTCGAGCTGCCGGAGCTAGTGGTACTGCTGGTGCTAGAGGTGCTACTGGAGGTGCTAGAGCTGGAGGTACTGGAGGTGCTGGAGCTGCTGACGGTCCGGGTACTGCGCCACGCTCACCGTTTTTTTACCCACAGCAGCAATCGTCCCTGCCACCGCCTGCCTCGGCCCTTCGCCAGGTTCTTAGTCTCCCATCTTCCACTGGCCTCACTCCACCTCTCCTGTGTCCACCGTCTGGCTCGTCTCAATCGCAGTTGCCACTTGGCTCCCCACCGCCTACTCCTTCTCCCTACACTGAGCTGCGAGACTCCTTGACTGAGCATCGTGAGCCTACGTCTCGTGCCTCCATACCTGTTCGTGCTCGTCGTGTCGCCTGTCTTCGTCCTCTTGCTGTCCTAGGCACTCACGCTATGGCACTTCGTCCTTCCTGTGTTCCACAGCGTGTTGCCCTGCCATATCCTCCGGCGTCCTCTCTTCCTGATGTGCCTGACCCTGAGTTTGACCTTGCTCGTGCTGCCAGTCCAGCTGTCACTCATCTCCTCGCTACTGTAGTCACTGACCCTAACTTTGAGTCTTCTGCTACATTTGCCCTAGTCACTGAGCTAGTAGACTTTGCTACTAGGAGTCATCTTGACTACGTCGCGAATCTTGTTACTAAGTCTGAGCTTGTCTGTCCTCCGTCAGTCGGGGGTGAGCCTGCCCTTGGCGGTGATGTCCTTGAGGACAGGCAGTTTGAGCTTGAGTATCTTGCAGCCACTTTACCACGTTTCGCATGCATGCTGCTTTGCCCTGAGGGAGACCCGAATGCTCTTGACATCCCTACCCCGCGCTCTTACGCTGAGGCGATCGCGGGTGAATACTCCTCTCAGTGGCAGACAGCCATGGACGCAGAGATGGCTTCTTCCACAGGCACCTACGTCGACAAGGTTCCTCCTCCTGATGCGAACATAGTCGATGGCATGTGGATTTTTAGAGTGAAGCGGCCGCCGGGCTCTCCGCCTACCTTCAAGGCGCGTTACGTTGCTCGAAGCTTCAGTCAGCGATAGGGGGTCGACTTCTTCCCAACCTTTTCCCCCACCCCGAAGATGACTACTCTTTAGGTGTTGCTGCACGTTGAAGCACAGTGTGACTACAAGATGCACTCTCTTGACTTCAGCACAGCTTTCTTTCAGGGCAGCCTTCACGAGACGATCTGACTGCGCCGCGCACCTGGCTTCACTGGGTCGTTTTCTACGGGTACCCAGTGGAGCCTTCGACGGCCAATCTACAGTCTCCGTCAGGCGCCTCGCGAGTGGCATGAGACACTGAGGATGACACTTGCGGCTCTTGGGTTTGCTCCTTACTCTGCTGACCCGTTGTTGTTTCTACTCACCGACACTTCTCTACCGCCATTCTACGTCCTCATGTACGTTGACTACTTGGTTTCTTCTACTGCTGACACTGAGGCACTGACCCTAGTGAAGACAGAGCTGTAGGAGAAACACACCTGCACTGACATTGGTGAGCTGCGGAGTTATCTTTGCTTAAAGATCACCCGGGACAGAGCACGGTGCACCATCACCCTGACGCAGTCACACATGGTGCACTAGGTCTTTCAACGCTTCAACTTCAAGATCTCCACGCCACAGCCCACTCCTCTGCCCACAGAACACTCGCTCTCAGCTCCACCTTCGGACGAGTCTGTAGAGCCGAGTGGTCCGTATCCAGAGCTTGTGGGTTGCCTCATGTACCTAATGACATGTACGCGACCAGACCTCGCGTACCCTCTCAGCCTCCTGGCTCGCTACGCGGCTCTTGGTAGACACTGAAAGGTGTACTGGGATGCTGTGAAGAGGGTACTGCGTTACTTGTGCAGTACACCGGGCATCGGGCTCGTGTTTGGAGGACGGGATTCAGTGGTTCTCACAGGGCACTCTGACCCTTCCTGGGCCGACGACCAGGCGACTCAGCGATCGTCACCGGGTTACACATTCAGTCTTGGTTCTCGTTCTATCTCGTGGAGGTCTACGTGTTCGTCTTCTGTGCTTGGTTTTAACTGTGAGGCCGAGATATACGCTGGGGCTATGGCTGCACAGGAGCTACGCTTGCTGGCCTTCCTGTTGACCGTCTTGGGGGAGCGGCCTCGTTCTTCTCCAGTTCTGTACGTTGACAACAAGGCCATGTTTGACTTGTGTCGCGAGCAGAGACTGGAGCACAGAACGAAGCACATTTCTCTTCACTACTTTCTTGCTTGCGAGCTGCAGCAGTGTGGTCAGCTTCGCCTTTCCTACGTGGCTTTTCGGGCCAACACTGCTGATGTCTTCATCAAGGCCCTTGGGTCTAGTGATCATCAGCGCTTTTGCACTGCTCTTAGGCTTATGCGCTGCCTCACCTGCTTGTCTCTTGATCTTGTCTTGCACTTGTTGTACACTTTTACATATGCTTCTACTTGCATGTTTACACGTGCCAGGTTGTGATCTATGTAGTGCCTTGCTATTATAACTCTACTTGTGAACTGGCCTTGTGGCCGTTTGCTTGTGCTCGGACTGTGTGGTATCCTTGAGGTCCACCCTGAGTTTTGCTTTGCTTTATTCTCTTGCGTGACTGGTCTTGTGACCGCTAGTTGTGTTAGCTATCGCCCACTTTGCCTATGGGGGTGTGTCAAACATTATATGTTTTGTGTAGGCTGTAGTGGGGCTTCCCTTAGAGGGGATACAACTCTAGAGTTACACATGTGTATCCCCCTCATTCCTAGTTCACCCATCCCTTCTCAATTCCCCTCGTCATGTTACTCTCGACACTAAGCCTAGCCTCCTAGACCTAAGTTACAGAGGCTACTTTAACGGCCTGAAGCGAATAGTTGAGTCAGCCTGGCACGAGTGTAAGGTTTGGATTGGAGAGATGTGGAGGTAACGTGCAAGCAACAACAGTGAATGGTAGCAGCTGGATAATGTGAAAGTTTTTGGCAGCAATCCATCCGCCTTTATATGTTTTGATACAGCGATCCAACCAACTGTAACAACGTGCGTCCTTATAATGTGATCGGCCCTTTATGTCGTTCTCTGTGAGGATGGATGGGAATACCACCACCAGCCTCCTTTTCTATCTGGCTTGCCAATCTTCATATGGCATAACATTATAACACACCATTATAACGTACGGCATAAAGTACAGCTTGCCGATACACTCCATACATACGTGAGCTTGACAGTGGTACAATTACTTTATGCACGTCACTCCTGCACCTCACTGATCTCGCAACTGCTAACCCTGCTGCTGGCGTTCTTTGTTTTACTCGCAACCGCAGCACGAGGCACATTCCCACCACCAGCCAACGACAAACCCGAATCACCAACATCAATACTATCACCACCACCGCCACCACCACCACTATCACCACCAATCAAACAATCCTCTTGGCCAGGTTCACGCCTCTCTCTGCAAGTACTATCCATTCCTCCATTCATACTTGCCCTCTCACCCTCCTCCTCCACTTTCTTACCCCCCTGCCCTTGACCAACCTTCTCACCACTGCTCCCAAGAACCGAAGCCCCATCCTCTGATGCCTTCACATTCCCATTCCCCGAACCAGAAGCCGAGGTTCGGGGCGCCTTACCATCCGTGTTCTCCAATCCCGAACCAGGCTTCAACTCCTGACCAGCATCACCGTCTGCAAAAGCCGTGGAAGCAGCATCGCTTGACCCACCCTCTCTCCCGCTCCGGCTTCTCCGCGAGGAGCTGCGCTTCCGGGAAGCTTCCGGGGCGATGTGCCAGTCAAAGGGGAGACCCGAGGGGCGCACTCGGAAGGCCTCGGCTTCGGAGAGCAGCGAGTCGAACTGGCGGCGGCCCTTGGTGAGATAGGCGCCCCATGACAGCTGCTGATACGCCCTGGGGGGATGGTAAGGATGGGGGGAAGGGGAGATGAGAGGGGAAGCTGTGCAGACTTAGTTGCCTTGGTAGTTGAAGTGAATGAAACTGGCAACCGTTGGTGAGATAGGCGCCCCATGACAGCTGCTGGTACGCCCTGGGAGGGCGAAAGCGGAGGGGTGGTGACATGAGAAGGAAGAGTGAGAAAACAAAAAAAGCATGTTAGATGGGGGGAATGATTATGTCCTGGGAAGGTTGTGAGTGTGAGCCATTGGGGAAAAGGAAGAGGGGGTTGATGCCAGAGCAGAGGGTGAGTCCCTATGGGAAAGAGGTGACTTTTGAGTCAACTCAAAGGCCAATAATCACCTTATGAGTCGACTCAAAAGTCAATAATCACCTTTTGAGTCGACTCAAAAGTCAATAATCACCTTTTGAGTCGACTCAAAAGCCAATAATCACCTTTTGAGTCGACTCAAAAGCCAATAATCACCTTTTGAGTCGACTCAAAAACCAATAATCACCTTTTGAGTCGACTCAAAAGTCAATAATCACCTTTTGAGTCGACTCAAAAGTCAATAATCACCTTTTGAGTCGACTCAAAAGCCAATAATCACCTTTTGAGTCGACTCAAAAGCCAATAATCACCTTTTGAGTCGACTCAAAAGCCAATAATCACCTTTTGAGTCGACTCAAAAGCCAATAATCACCTTTTGAGTCGACTCAAAAGTCAATAATCACCTTTTGAGTCGACTCAAAAGTCAATAATCACCTTTTGAGTCGACTCAAAAGCCAACAATCACCTTTTGAGTCGACTCAAAAGCCAATAATCACCTTTTGAGTCGACTCAAAAGCCAATAATCACCTTTTGAGTCGACTCAAAAGCCAATAATCACCTTTTGAGTCGACTCAAAAGTCAATAATCACCTTTTGAGTCGACTCAAAAGCCAATAATCACCTTTTGAGTCGACTCAAAAGCCAATAATCACCTTTTGAGTCGACTCAAAAGTCAATAATCACCTTTTGAGTCGACTCAAAAGTCAATAATCACCTTTTGAGTCGACTCAAAAGTCTCCTCTGATGCCAGAGCAGACGGTGTGTCCGTATGGGAAAGATCAGCAAGACATGGCGCGGAATGCGCTTTGACGCACCTCACAAGTCATGGGGGGGAATGAGCAGTCCACACGGGTCAATCTGGCCGAAACACCTAATGTGCGCAGACAGAGCATGACTGCCACCACACCACAGGGACGAGGCGTGTGACTTGTGAAAATTCTTAAATACTCACCACAGCACCGTGGAGCAGATGACAATGGCGGTGAACGCTGCTCCCATGTGGGGCTCTGTAGGGCGCGGCACTCATCTCATCTCATCTCATCTCATCTCATCTCATCTCATCTCATCTCATCTCATCTCATCTCATCTCATCTCATCTCATCTCATCTCATCTCATCTCATGGCCGCTTTATAAGACCTTCCAGCAATCACCAGAGCAGAGCACCACGGAGCACAACACTCACATCAGCTTGCTCCAGATACAGCCTTCCCCTCAGATACACCCTGCACCACTCACCACAGCACCATGGAGCAGATGACAATGGCGGTGAACGCTGCTCCCATGTGGGGCTGATGAGGACATGGGGGCACGGCTTCCGAGACGCTTCACCACTCACCACAGCACCATGGAGCACATGACAATGGCGGTGAACGCTGCTGGGATGAAGGTTGAGAAGTTGAATTTAATCCACCTGGAAGTAGGAGGGGAGAGGAGGGCAAGCGGGGGAGTTGGGGAGATGAGCAAATTGGGGGTAAAGCGGACGAAGTTGGCGGTAGGGGCAGAGGGTGGAAATGTAGGGAACAGAGTTGGAACAGCGGTGTTGGGGTCACGAATCGAGTGAACCCAGTGAGAGGTATTCTCAAAAGTGGGCCCAATGTTGGGAAAAGAGGGCAGCCTTGATCATGTAGGTTGTTTTTGAGAATTTTCAAAAATATCCAGCCAGGGGAAGAGTGGGTTCGCAGAGGGGATTTTATACAGTTTGGCCTTTACGTGGACTCCAGATGCTTGAAAGTTATGAAAAAAATCTTAAGTTGACTTCGAAGTGGACTCAATAATGACGTTACACACAGGAAGTCAAGAGCAAGGATAAGCCTATTTGTAGGCTCACCCACTCTGTACCGCCTCTGGACTACAATTGATAAGCCGTGACTACAATTGTAAAGCCATGAATTTGCTGACATATGACTGGGAACCAGTAGAGTAGCTGATACAAGTGCAATGTTAGTCTCCGTTGTGTACCTTATACTACATCTCCTGTTCCTTCTTCTCTATTTGCTATACCGTTCTTTGTTCTCAATGATAGGAACTGTGTGACTAAAATGTCCGGTTGCACAGAAGTCTAGTTCCGAATTGCGGTGTAACAGCCTAGGAGGAGATAAGATCCCCCCTGCCGCACCTCTAGATTAGTTCCAACAGCTTACCCGATAGGAATGAGGCTGAGAAGGAATGAAAAGATTCCTGACAGAAGGAAAAGATGGGGTGGCATTGATTGGAGGACAGGAAGTGAAGGGGCAGGCAGCATTAAGTGAAAAAAACTATGTGGAAGGTGTAGCAATGGCCAAGATGAGGAAATTTATTGGATTGGGCCAAAGCTGGCCAAAGTGCTTCAATGTTAGTCAAAAGACTGTCAAACAAGTCAAAGGATGGGCATCAGTGGAAAGGTGTGATGCTGCAATGAAAATTAGCCACATTTTTGTCTTGACAGCGAACTAAGCCACAATTGTACCCCATGTGAAGTAGTTGAATGCCTTGCGCCACCCACCTGATAAAAGAGATGCCTTGCGCCACCCACCTGATAAAAGAGATGCCTTGCGCCACCCACCTGATAAAAGAGATGCCTTGCGCCACCCACCTGATAAAAGAGATGCCTTGCGCCACCCACCTGATAAAAGAGATGCCTTGCGCCACCCACCTGATAAAAGCGATGCCTTGCGCCACCCACCTGATAAAAGAGATGCCTTGCGCCACCCACCTGATAAAAGAGATGCCTTGCGCCACCCACCTGATAAAAGAGATGCCTTGCGCCACCCACCTGATAAAAGCGATGCCTTGCGCCACCCACCTGATAAAAAGCGATGCCTTGCGCCACCCACCTGATAAAAGAGATGCCTTGCGCCACCCACCTGATAAAAGCGATGCCTTGCGCCACCCACCTGATAAAAAGCGATGCCTTGCGCCACCCACCTGATAAAAGCGATGCCTTGCGCCACCCACCTGATAAAAGAGATGCCTTGCGCCACCCACCTGATAAAAGAGATGCCTTGCGCCACCCACCTGATAAAAGCGATGTTTTGAGACGTCTCAAACATCTCTTTTATCAAGTAGTTGAATGCCTTGCGCCGCCAGTCATCTTCACAGTTTGAAGGGTTCGATGGGATTGGGTGATACATGAAACATGCTCGTGCCATGCTGCACTCAAGCATACCCTACCCACTTCGTATTGGGAATGCGTGTGGGCAGACAGTGACATACCCCATGTGAAGCAGTTGAATGCCTTGCACCAGTCATCTTCACACCTTGGAGGGTGAAAGGGAGACATACCACACTCAAGCATTCCCTATAGGGACCATGAGGAGAGACATACCCCACCCAAGCATACCCTATAGGGACCGGGAGGGGAGACATACCCCATGTGAAGTAGTTGAATGCCTTGCGCCAGTCATCTTTACACCTTGGAGAGTGAAGGGGCTGGGTCATACATATACATGCCATACTGCACTAAAGCATACCCTATCCATCTGGTATTGGGTCTGTAAGGTCAAACGTACCCCATGTGAAGTAGTTGAATGCCTTGCGCCAGTCATCTTCACACCTTAATGGGTTTGACACATGTGTATGCCATGCCATGCCATCCCATCCGATCCCGTGCCATCCCACACAGTTCCCATATCATGCCGCAACGCAAATTGCCGCACCAAGCCAGATTGCAAGAATGAATTAGAATCCAAACGAAGAAAAAAGAGTTATCACTTAGACCATGCCTGTGACACGCAACACCCTGATAACGTAACGTCGTGCAAGTCCTTGTGACATGCAAATAGACCGTGCCTGTGAGACGCAAATACCCACCTGTCCACCAACAACCCACCAAGTACTCACCTGTACTCCCAAAAAGCTTCAAACATGCGTCGGTGCGCGGGAGGGCGGTTCCCGAGCGAGAAGGAGCACACGAAGCAGGGCACAAAGAGCAGGCAGCGGAACCGCACACTCCACTCAACCAGGTAACGCCTGTGCAACATCGAGGTGTGTTTTGAGGCGCCTCAAAACACACATGAAGCTCCACCAGGTAACACCTGTGCAACATCCCTACCTTTTTCAATAGCCTCACTCACCTGTACTCCCAAAAGGCCTCAAAGGTGCGCCGCGGCGCAGGAGGGCGGTCCCCAAGCGAGAAGGAGCGCAGGAAGAGCAGGCAACGGAACATGAAGTGCTCCTTTAGGTAACGCCTATACGTGTACATCCCCCCACCAGGCTCACCTGTACTCCCAGAAAGCCTCAAACGTGCGACGTGGTGCGGGAGGCCTGTCTCCCAATGAGAAGGAGCGCACGAAGAGCAGGCAGCGGAACATGAACTCCTCCTCGGCGTCCTCGTCCACGTAGGCCTTGCCATTCTTCAATATGCTGCCCATGATGAGCGTGCACTGCACCATGGCCACTGTGTGCAGGCAGACCTGAAGTGGGAGTAGGGAGAGGGGAGTAGAGAAGCAGGCAGGCAGCAGGCAGTAGAGTATCAGTGCACCCCTCGCCCTCCCTCCACTGCCCATGATGAGCGTGCACTGCACCATGGCCACCGTGTGTAGACACACCTGACAGGGCGGGGCGAGACGGGAGGAGAGAAAGCAGGCAGGCAGGCAGGCAGGCAGCAGGCGGCAGTGAGCAGGGAGCAGGCGTGCGTGCGTGTGTGTGTGTGTGTGTGACCTGACTCACCTCACAACGGGCCTGCTTCATGCAACTGGGAAGGACGGAGACTCACTGAGATGGCAGTGAGGATGCCGTATAGAGCGATGTTCCACTGTTAGGGGTGGGCAGGTGTGTGTGCCTGTGTGCGTGCGTGTCGTGTCGCCAGACAACACACCTGTTTGATGCAACTGGTGAAAGGCGAGCCACTCACCGAGATGGCAGTGAGGATGCCGTATAGAGCGATGTTCCACTGTTAGGGGTGGGCAGGTGTGTGTGCCTGTGTGCGTGCGTGTCGTGTCGCCAAACAACACACCTGTTTTATGCAACTGGTGAAAGGCGAGCCACTCACCGAGATGGCAGTGAGGATGCCGTATAGAGCGATGATCCACTGTTAGGGGTGGGCGCCGGGGAGAGAAGGATGGGCGGAGATTGGTGAAGGGAGGAGAATGAGAAGAACAGGAGCCCACACCACAGCACAGTTGCAGTGAGGACGAACAGTGAGAGGGACGGAGGGAGGGAGGGACGGAGGGAAGAAGGAAGGTTGAAAGATCAGGTGGCATTCACAATTTGCGAAGAACAAGGGCCACACCAGTGAGCGCTGCGATCAAAGCCTAACCACTTGGGAGGTCTCCACTATGACTTAGAACCTGAGTGAGCGTGAGAAAATGTGGGGTTGGCTTAAGAAACGGGGGAGGGGAGCGTTAAAGGTTGGAAGCTGACTAACGTGGCTAGGAAGAAACGGAGTGAGTGAACGAGTGTGACTATAGCTGTGGGTGCTTTTATTGAACCAAGATAGACTTACCAAAGGGGAGGTGTCGAGGGTGACTTGGAACTGCGTGAGTGTGACTACAGCGAAGCCAGCAAACAGTGCTGCAAGGTTCGAAATCGCTTTAAGCTGCTCCGATTTCTCCTCCACATCCCGCCGGTTCTTCTCGACAAACCTGCCAAGGGAAGAACGAGAGGGGGGAGTATGGTGTAGATACAGCACGAGTCGGGTGGATCAGCAGGGATCCTTCACGCTGCAGCTCTTCTTCATGACCAGTGACCCGGGGGAGCATGGTGTGGATACAGCACAAGAAAGAGGAGAAGGAAGGATGATGATTTCCACTTGCACGGATGAAGGTGTGATTGGGGCCTGTCCCGTCCACCGAAACTAGTTTGCCTCGTTTTAATCTTTGAGTGGAATTTCGAGTCAAATTTCTTGAAACTCCTTGTTTTTAGCAGGAACAACAACAGATTGTCCTGTTAATCCTTTGCTAAAGATTTCTTTTAGACTGCTGCTCGCCTAATCACATGGCATAGGGGGGAGTATGGAGTAGATACAGCACGAGAAAGAGGAGAAGGAAGGAAGATGGGAATGAGAGGGTGGATGAGAGGGTCAACATCGCCTTGAACTGCTCTGCCCACTCCTCCACGTCCCGCCGGTTATTCCTGGCAAACCTGCTAAGGGAGGGGGGGTTGGGGAAAGAGGGAAAAAAAAGGAACTTGAGATACAGCAGTACCTGCCTGGGGTCAACTGTATGAAGTGGTTGACTGAATGGCTGACAGAATACCTGACTAAATTCCTGACTGAATGCCTGGCTAAAGACATGCGTTGTGGTTGAAGCACAGCCACACAAAGCTCACCTGCGTCGAACGCTCACCACAGCTGTAGTACTTGCCATGTTCACCCGACTCCTACCGTTCACCTGGTTTTACCTGATTTCACCTGGGTTTACCTGACTTCACCTGGTTATTCCTGCCTCTATACCTGGGATTGCACCTGATTCTACAGCACGTTGTACCTGGCCCAAAGGTATCTTGCATTGTCCACGTGGCGTTGGTTTATGTCTTCCTCCCTCCACCTGATGCCAGCAGCAATGCAGGGTACAGAGCACACAGTGCACAGTGCCCAACACTTATCGTACAGTACATAAGTGGTAAACGATATAGCATGTATGTACAGCACATTTCAAAATCTAATGACCGAATTCATGAATGCACCAAAAGGCAAACAGATAATGCAGATGAGACACACAGGAACATCAAGTGAGTGAGTAGGTGAGCGAATGAGTGAGGTGAGTGAACGCGTGAGTGAGTGAGTGCATAAGTGAGTGAGAGTGAGAGAGTGAGTGTCTCTGAAGCACTGAACAAACTTACCCAGATTTGATCCACATCCCTTTCTCACTACCGCTCTTCCTCACCCTCCCCTCACCGTCCCTCAAGCCCCCCCACCCACTTCGCCGCCCATCCCCCACCTCCCACACCCCCCTTTTCCTCCTCCCTTCCCCCGACCACCCCTCTCCCCGTTCCCCCCACCTTATTTCCGCGCTCCGCATTTCCGCCTCTTCCCCGAACCATCGGCGCTCCTCCTCGCGGAACGCCAGGTCGTCCGCGCGCCACTCGCGGTCCTCCGCGCGCCAGCGGCGGTCCTCGTCGCGCCACTGCCGCGACAGCGACGTGTCGAACGCCGCCAGAACCGCCTGCGCCGCCTCCATCGTGCTCGCCATCGCTACGGCTGCCCCGCGCGCTTAGCTAAGTACACCTTTTATTTAGTCTAACCTAACCTTGATGCGAAAGTCCCTACGGATGGTTGAGGTACGAAATTTCTAGTAGGACACTTTTTTTCCTCCGCGCGACGCGTCGCGTAGCTGGAGAATTTCGAGTCGACACAAAAGTCGCCATGATTCTTTAGCGGCGGCCCTCGTCGCGCCACTGCCGCGACAGCGACGAGTCGAACGCCGCCAGTACCGCCTGCGCCGCCTCCATCGTGCTCGCCATCGCCTCCCGTCGCGCTTAACTAAGTACGGCTTTATGTATAAAAATACCGGAATAACTCTGCTCGTGCCATAGTGGTGTCCTGACTCCTGAGCCTAACGCCGGGACGAGCCTAAAACTCAGGGCCCCTACAGTTCGTTGACACCGTAACAATATCGACAACAGCGGCGTCAGATGCGGAGATTTTAGAAAAGCGTTGTCTGTCAAGTCTCGGACGTAGAGAAAGAATCCTAATATCCAGCCCTGCTGTTCGCGGCGCAGATTCAAATATGACAGTTGTGAACCAGTTTTGTTATGAGAACGCGAGTTTTACAAGTGAGCTGAAATGCACTCGGTCACAAGCTACAGACTACTACTGAAGAGTGAATAACGAGGTAAAATAGGCAGAGTTGAGCTAGCCGAGGACCTCGGCTCGGGTAGCGAGGCTCGAAAGGATAGCCAAAGGTGCGGAGGCGAGGTGGTTCGGGGGGAGAACGCATGCCGAACCAGCTGACGCGACAACCTAGGTAGGTACCCACTAACAAATGTCTACAGTAAAGGTCACTTACATGTTTCATGAAGATTATAACAGAGAGTTTTCTGATCATTCATTGCTCGAATTGCATTGGTAGGATGATATGCTTGCTTGCAACAACTACCATCTACCATGTACCGGTGGCACTAATTTGCGGTGTATACAGGATGCCCGACCCATTTTCCCATTGCACTCTGTTTCCACACCGTTACTACACCATCGGCTCCCACTGTTGCCAGGCTACAGCCTAGTAGGTCCCAGGAAACTTGATGCACCTGTAGGGATAGACGGGGAGTTTCGCAGTACGAGGAAAGATGGAAGATAACAGTACATAGACGGCATGAAGCGTACGTATATCAAAGGACAGCTGGCTGTTTGCTTTCAATTTAATTACAACAGGAAGGAAGGAAAGAAGAAAGAAAGAAAGAAAGAAAGAAAGAAAGGAAGGAAGGAAGGAAGGAAGGAAAAAAGCAGAAGAAAAACACACACGCAACACAATGGCAGAATTCAAAATGGGTCCGGTATGGAGCTGCAGATTCCAGCCTCACAGAGAGTTACAACCGTCCACCATAAAGAAAAGAGTTTTTAGCAAAAGGGGAAAAGATGCAGGTGAAAAAAACCTTGAGGTGGGTAGGTGATCTGTCTTACCTGAGAGGAACTGGAGGAGGTCAACCGAGCCACATGCCGAACCTGAACTGCATCCCTGGAAGGCTTGGAACGGTAACTCCCAGCCTCAGTAACGTCTCCCATACCCATGGCATCTTGCGGCTCAGAAAACTGCTGTGCCGAGCCAGGCTGGTTGGGATAGTCTATCCGGACCAGATGAACAGTTGAGACAGCAGCTAAGGCAACGACATCGAAAGGTCTGATTATGTTTGGAATGGGGAATGGGAGAGGGTTGACAGACGGACGGAGGAGGGGGGGAGGGTTCAGGCGGAATGAGGGAGGTTGGAGCCTGGAGGAGACTTAGGACGGGGAAAGAATGGGACAGGAACTGGTTTGGTGATAGTACGAAGGGCAAGCTATATTGGTGTTACTTTTAAAAATTCTCAAAGGTCGAAGGGAGACGCAAGGCAAGGAAAGAATGGGACAGGAAGCTGCGACAACAAGCGACCAGATTGGTGGATGGGTGGTGGGGGGAGAGAGGGCATCAGTAACACACGCATGTGTCTGTCTGTATGTGAGATGTTTACAGAGCTTCTAGGTACGACTGGGTGTGCTTGAGTCGACTCGAAGGCTAACACAGGTGAACCCATGCAAAGGTCTGTCTGCATGTGAGCTGTTTTCAGAACCCCTAGGTAGGATTGGGTGAGCGCCGTAGCGAAAGGAGGTGAAGGGGTGGAAAACGAGACTTGCGAGAGATGATGAGAAAGGAGAGTGGAAGTGGTTTCACGGATGCGTGCACGCATGGGCTGCTATGCTATGCGTGCACGAGGGCACAGTGCAGTGCGGTGCAATGCGGTGCAGAGCACAATGAACTGGTCTGTGCATGGATACATGTCTCCACTGCACTGCACTCATACAGCCGTGAGTGACATGAAGACCAATCAACCATGGAATCGTTCCTACCACGACTCAGCCAGCCATGACAACCAACCAACCAATCAACCATGACTCTCCTACACTCATACAAGGCAAGGAGAGGCATGCCTGTCTAGGGTGGGCACTCAAGTTGACTTCTGAGTCGACTCAAAAGTTGACTTTTGACTTTTGAATTGACTTTTGAGTCAACTCAAAAGTTGACTTTTGACTTTTGAGTCAACTAAAAAGTTTACTTCTGACTTTTGAGATGACTTTTGGACTCAAAATGACAACCAACCAGTAAACCATGACTCTCCTACAGTCGTACAGGGCAAGGAGAGGCATGCCTGTCTAGGGTGGGCGCCCAAGCGATGCTCGTGACAGGTGGCAACGATTGATTGGCCGCTGTGGTAGCAGAGGCGGCTGGTAGGAGGTCTGCTATGGCATGCCAGTGCATGTAGCGATCACTGCGCACCCACACCTGTGTGCATGCATGCATAGTTGAGGAATGAAGGGAGTGACACTGAGTTAGAGCGAGTGACAGGGAGTGAGAGGTTAGGCAGAAAACCCGTTATAGAATGGCCGCACATGTAGTAATCGCTGTGCATATTTGTGAGCATGGATGATAGGATGTGTCAAGTTGGAGTGGGAGATAAAGGGAGAGAGGGAGTGAGCAGGAGCTTTAGGGCATGAGAGAAGGCAAAAGGGATGCTAAGGGAGTGAGTGAGGGACACAAATTCTACAGTCAGAGAAATGGCACAACAAACAAAGACATAACAAGCAGGTCTGATCGAAAGGCCTCACGATATTGTTTTTACTGGCAGCACAAACAACGCTTCCCCCAGCTCACTCGTTTCCCTTCCCTCACTCACTTGTTTCCCTTCCCTCACTCACTTGTTTCCCTTCCCTCACTCACTTGTTTCCCTTCCCTCACTCACTTGTTTCCCTTCCCTCACTCACTTGTTTCCCTTGTCTCAAGCGCTCGTTTCCCCAGACCGTTTCTAGTACTACACAAACCTTAGCAGTGTTGCTGACACCCTTGCTGCTGCTGCTGCCTGCTGCTGCACACGTGGCAATGGCTACAGCTGGTGATTGGCCGAACGCACGCGTGGACGGATGGACGGCTATGATCGCACGTGACAGCAGCTCCTTGCCCATGCTGACGTCAGCGTATGGAAACAGTGCCACGTCAGCCTGCATAGGTTTAGAAAGGTAAGCATTTTTTTTTCCCACCAGCTGGGCTTGTGTCACGTCACGATACGTAGAAGAATACAGCAAAGCAGAAAGTACTCAAGAGGTATGGAAGGGCAGAACATAGCAACGCAAAAAGAGAAGGGATGAGGATGAGAATAAAAAGGCGGATTGGTGTGAAAGGAAGTGGGAGGCGGGAGAGAGAAGGAAGAGAGGAGGATAAGGAGGAGACGGGGAGAGGGAAAACGACGAAGGGAGATGGATGGATGGATGGAAGTACCTCAAGCAACCAATGAGAGAGGGCGAGGCAGTCGTTGCAGCGATGCACCACCATTCTCCCTTCCGATGTCACTGCCACCTGCCAGCAACAGCAGTAACAGCAGCAGACAACGATGGCAAAGTCATATTTGAGATTTCTCCAAACCGCGCACTAAAAAAACCTGAACCAAGTGGAGTGCAATCAGTCTCACCAGCAGCAGAGGGTCGGTGAAAGTGCTGCGTGCAAACGCCAGAGCCAACACAGCAGCAGCAGCACTGGGAGCAGCTGCAGCAGCACTACCATTAGTAGCAGCCCCATTCAGAGAATTCAGCAGCATGTTTCCCACATCCACCACTGCCACCTGCCGCCACCGGGTACCTCCACCTGCTCCTGATTGGTCAGCTTCGGCCCCTCCTCCCCTTCCGCCCCCTCCTCCCCTTCCGCCCCCTCCTCCTCCTCCCATTTCAGTGTCTTGCCCGCCTTCTCTATTCCTCTCCTCCCCATTCCGCTCTTCCCTGCCGCCCCCACTCCCTCCACTCCCCCCATCCCCCCCGTTTCCCCCCCTGGCCCTGTTCCGCCCATCCTCCCCGTCCCCCGCGCCCCCAACCTCCCCCCAGATGTGCACGCGGCTGCTCCCCCTGCACGCCACAGCCACCTTTCCCCCGAACTCCTGCGGCGCCCACACCACATGCGCTGCTGCTGCTGCTGCTGGGGCAAGTGGGGAAGGGTGAAAAGGGAAAGGGCGGGAAGAGGGCATTGATTCCAAGCTGCTGCAGGGCCCACAGAAGGTGCATTCCCCCTTTACGCCACAGCCAGCTTTCCCCCGAACTCCTGTGGCGCCCACACCACGAGTTGATTTTTGAGTCGACTCAAAAATCAACTCCTGTGGCGCCCACACCACGTGCGCTGCTGCTGCTGGGGGCAAGCGGGGGAGAAGGAGGAAGGGAAAAGGAGGGCGAGCCGCGGGTAGAGGGCTTTGTTGCCCAAATGCTACACGCCCACCCCACGTGCACCCCCCCTGCACGCCACAGCCAGCTTTCCCCCGAACTCCTGTGGCGCCCAAACCACGTGCGCTGCTGCTGCTGGGGGGAAGTGGGGTATGGGGAAAGGCGGGAGGGAGAGGGGACGGGAGGGTCACTGGCACAGCTGCATGCGCATCTCCTTCATGCATTTCCCTTCACTCCTCGCGTCCCCGTTCATTCGTTCCGCCTCCTCTCCCTCACTCCCTCCTTTCCACCCCGTACCCCTTTCCCCCCCTCCACCTTCCCCCAACCCCCTAAAATATTGATCTAAACGAATTGGATCGAGCTCCTTCGATCCGCGCACCTGTTTTTTCCCCTCCGCCGCTTCCCCCCAGCTGCCAGCTCGCGGAAAGGCTCAGCGGTCCGCGCTCCGCGCCGTCGTCGCAGCGCTCCCAGATCTGCAGCGCGCCGTCCGCCGTGCCGGCCGCCCATCGCGTTCGCGATCCGTTCCACGCGCTAGCGGTCGCCTCGCTTCCCGTACCCCGAACCAGCTGCCGAACCTGCATGTCAGGCACGGATCGATCGTTGAACATATGAACGGTCACGAAACGACTCACTGTAAAGCCTGCGTGCGTTGTCAGACGAAATGATTCACTATAATATTTCGTCATTACGTTCGGCAACATGTAGTCATAAGCTTGTTCAGATAAAGATCCATGTCTGTCCCGAACGATTCGCGAAAATCGTGCGAAATTCGTCCAGCTCGTTGATCTTACCTGAGGCATTATTTATCGACCAGTTAATTCACGCGACTCCAATGCCTGCAGGATGAGAATGGCTAGCCGACGATATGGTGGTCTTCCCGAGAAGAGGCAAGCACTTATGACAGGTAATTAGGCGCGGCCCGGAATAGGCCAGTACCTTCGTCCTCAGAAAATACTCAGTGGGAAATAAGTGTCCATCTTTGTCCGGTTAAGAACGGTTCTGGAGTTACCAAACAAAAAACATGAATCAAAACGGTTGGGTAGGTTTTTTGGGGATAATGAGATTATAACACGCTCTGGTCGTGGGGTCTTCTGATTCATTTGCGAGGGTTGGGTTGTTGCCGTGTTTCAATTTGGATTTCTTTTTGGATGGCGTTCTGAGGACGCGTCACCTCTTTCGTTTTTGAACGATCGATCCTGCGCAGGATCGAAAGCTTACAGGACCCAGAAAAAGTGTTAGGCCCGACGGCCTAAGTCCGCTAAAGAATTAGCGGGGTCGACTAAGTCGAGGATGAAACGCGGCGGAAGACTTTGGCGAAAGAACTATTGGCGAAATAGGCGAAGAAGTTACTGAGTAATTGAAGAAGAGTTGAATGAGAATTGATTGATAATGGCAAGTACAAGCAAGGTTTATATAGCATGCAAGAAACAAGGTTGGAAAGTGGAATGTGGGACCAAGAATTGGAGTGCAAGAAAAGTAGAGTGCCACGTGGCACTAGAGAATCTGAGAAGATAAGGATAATGGTGACTAGGAATGTACTGTTCGGAATGAACAGTAAACACCCCTCTAACACTACCCCCCGCCCAAGGAGGCGACGTCCGCGGCGCCTGCAGACTGAAGGTACGCTTGGAGGCAAACGTTGTCAGGAGACAGCGAGGACGAAGGAACCCAGCTGTCGTCTGCTACGTCGTAACCACGCCAACGAACCAAGAAGTCGATGAAAGTGACACCCCCCTGGAGACGGCGACGATGCCTGAGGATGCGCTGGATCTGGTAGTCGGGCTCGTCGGTGTCAGCAGCTACCGGCAGTGGAGTGCGATCACGGCCCGAGAAGGTGGCATTGGGATCGGTGTATGGGCGAAGGAGAGACACGTGGAATGACGGATGCATGCGGAAATGTGCGGGAAGGCGAAGGCGGTATGCGACTGGACCTAGTGCGCGCTCAATGACGAATGGACCAATGAAACGTGGACGAAGCTTGCTGTCCTGTGGCAGTCGGAGGTTGCGGCTATCCAAGAGAACACGGTCGCCGACTGCGAACGACACCTCACGACGACTGCGGTTGGTGGTGCGTGCCATGCGTGCATTTGCGAGCTCAAGGTGCTTCCTCACGTGATCATGAATGAAGGTGAGATGCTGGTGGAAGTTGTCCGCACGAGGGACTGTGGGTGTGAGATCGACACGAGTGGGGACATTGGGGTGCTGACCGTAAAGTGCAAAGAACGGTGACATGCCTGTGGCGGAGTGGTGCGTGTTGTTGTAGGCGAACTCTGCCATGCTCAGCTTCTTGTCCCATGCGGCTGCGTCGTGCATCGTGATGCTGCGAAGGATCTGCTCCAAGGTCTGGTTCACACGCTCGGTCTGTCCGTCTGTCTCTGGGTGGTACGCAGACGACATGGCTAAGCGAGTCCCAAACAGTGCGAAAAGCTGCTTCCAGAACTTCGAAGTGAAACGAGGGTCGCGGTCTGAGGTGATGGAATCTGGAACCCCGTGCAGTCGGACTACGTTATGTACGAACAGCGTCGCGGCTTCCTCTGCCGTGACCTTGCCGTGCGTGGGGATGAAATGCGCTGCTCGAGAAAACTTATCCACTACTACGAAGATGGCGTCGTGACCCCTAACTGTGCGCGGTAAAGCCATGATGAAGTCCATGGTAACTACCTGCCAAGGGCGGTCGGGCGGTGGAATCGGCTGCAAGAGTCCTGCTTTGCGCTGGCGAGAGGACTTCGTACGCTGACACGTGTCGCACGAGCGAATGTAATCCTCTACGTCTACTGCAAGCCCGGGCCAGTAGTACGTGCGACTAAGCGTCTTAGCCGTCTTATCTGCTCCGAAGTGCCCTGCACTAACTACGTCGTGCGCCTCTGAGAGAAGGAGCTGTCGAAGAGGGCGGTAGGCTGGAACCCAAATCCGTGTGGTACCCTTCCGTATGTAGACACTACCCTGCACCTCTGCTCCTGCGGGCGGCTGCGGTGTGAAGTCGGGATCTACTGTGTAACCGTGCTCAAAGAGTGCTGTGAGAAGTGGGTGGCCAGCAGTGACTGTGAGACTGGCGAGCTGACAACTAGGGCGAGTGAGCGGATCTGCTGGGTTGCGCACGCCTGGCTTGTACTCTATCCTGTAGTGAAAGCTCCCTTCCATGAACTCCATCCACCTAGCCTGGCGACGACTCAGCTGCGGCTGCGACTTGAGGAAACGAAGCAAACAGTGGTCCGTGCGTATAACACTATCTGCCCCCTCTAGGTAGCACCTCCACACCTTATACGCATGGATGATCGCGAGCGCCTCCTTGTCGTGGATGGGATAGTTCAACTCCGCTCCCCTAAGCTTACGCGACTCGTACGCGATCGGCTGCAACCCGCGTCCCTGGTCCTGAAGAAGCACTGCTCCTATGGCCTGATCGGAAGCGTCGGTCACTACAACGTATGGGCGAGTGGGATCAGGGTACGACAGTGTCGGTGAAGACGTGAGCGACTGCTTCATCTGCTCGAACGCCTGCTGCTGCGCTGGACCCCAAACGTACTCTACGCCCTTCCGAAGTAGGTCGGTGAGTGGACTAGCGATCGATGCGTAACCCTGAACGAAACGACGGTAGTAGTTCGCGAAACCGAGGAAGCTCTGCAACTCCTTGACTGAGGTCGGTGCTACCCAATCCTGTACTGCTGCGATCTTCTTCGGGTCAGTCCTAATGTCACTAGCAGATACGACGTGTCCTAGGAACTCGACCTCTCGAAGGAAGAACTCGCACTTCGACTGCTTAGCGTATAACTGCTCCCTCCGTAAGACCTCGAAGACCTTCTGCAAGTGTTGCACGTGCTCATCTTTCGTCTTAGAGAACACTAGGATGTCGTCTAGGTAAACGACAACGAACGACCCTAGGAACTCGGAGAGGACTGTGTTCATGAGCGTCTGAAACGTCGCTGGGGCGCTGGTCAATCCGAACGGTAGAACCCTAAACTCGTACAACCCCTGCTTCGTACGAAACGCCGTCTTGTGCTGGTCCTCTGGAACTACTCGAATCTGGTGGTAACCCGAACGAAGGTCGATCTTTGAGAAGACTCTAGCGCCCTGCACTGCATCGAGAAGATCCTCTACTCTCGGCACCGGGAATCTATTCTTGACGGTGGCGGCGTTCAGTGCGCGGTAATCTATGCACATCCGTAACCCTCCGTCTTTCTTGGGTGCGAAAAGTATCGGTGCGGCCCAAGGCGATCTAGATGGCTGTATGAAACCCTGTGCGAGAAAGTGCCTAACTTGCTGCGTCATCTCCTCTGTCTCCGCTGGACTCAACCTCCACTGCGGCTTCGCTACTGGCCTGCTCCCCGGCTCCAATTCTATTCGATGGTTTACTGCTCGGCTGGGAGGCAACCCTGGGGGCAACTCGTCGGGGAAGACGTCTGCGAACTCTGCTAACAGTGCACTCACCTCAGCAGGAAGAGTCGCCTTCTCACTAACTGCTGCACTCCCTCCTTTCCCCTCCTCAGCTTCCACCTCCTCAAGAAAAACCGCGAAGATCCGTGCCGCACGCTTCACTAACTGTCGCACACGAACAGCATTAATGATAGCTGTGGATGATGTGGCCCCATCGCTCCACTGTGGCAGCTCCCGGAACTCCCCGTCTACCTTGACGCTGCAGCTTCCCTGAGCCCAATCGAACTGAGTACTAACCGTCCGTAGCCAATCTCTCCCGAAGATAAAATTGTATCCGTCCAGCGTCGCAGAGTCGAAATCACGCCTGACTGTGATCGGTCCTAGCACTACGCGCAACTTGCGGATGATCGGTCCTATGTGAAGTGGCGTCCCATCTACCATGCGAGCGTCCTTGAAGTTGACTGCTGAATCTGCTTCGAGATGGAGACGAGAAACTAACGATGAAGAGACGAACGAGGGACTAGCTCCGCTATCTACGAGAATCTTAACAGGAACTCCGCGAAGCTTCCCTAGAAGCACGACTGGACGATCAACAGTGTCTACCTCGTTCTCCGTAGATGACTGCTGCAAAGCCGTCTCCTCTACGTTGGTAGACGTGGCGGGTTCGGGAACCTCCACACCAGCTAGCGACCCGCTATCTACTGGCGGTTTCCGTTTCCCTGCTGCCGCTCCTTAAGCTGTGGGCAGTCTCGCTTCATGTGTCCCGGCTTTTTGCAGTAGTGACAGTTCCCCCTAAATCCCATTTTCTGTGAGCCGTCACTGTTAACTGCACCAATCTCCATGGGCGATGGTCCGTCCTCGATCGAGCGTCGTTGATCGGTCTGTTGTATCCCCTATCGCGATCGACACGACCCCGTCGGCTTCGTACTGCGTCGACGCGTTCTGCTGCTGCGACTACCGACTCGAAGGTGGACAACCCGTGAATCGCAATGACTTCCGCTATGTCCGGCTTCAACCCTTCGAGGTAGCGATCGCGCATCTCTGCTTCCGTGATATCGTCTATCTCGTTGCAGATGCTCAAGAACCGTCGTGTGTACTCCTGAACGTTGCCTATCTGTCGGAAATGACGCAGACGCTTCCTAGCAGCTTCGGAGGCGTTCACCAAATCGAACCTACTTTTCAGCGCCGCTTCAAATCCTTCCCATGTGGTCGGAACCGTGGTAACACCCAAAGCTAAACTCCCTAAACTCGAAGTTGCAGCTGCATGCCCCACGCCCTGTTGATGCCCGTCCGTCTGAGCCCTTCTTACAGCAGTTTGAGTGAGTTGGCGCTACCACTCCAAGGCCGGGCCTCCAGCAGTGTAACAGCGTACTCGATCCGCTGCTGCGCGTCCGCCTCTTGCACCCTGCTCGCGGCGAAGTAGTTGTTCAGCATGAAGAGCCACGTCCGCACGTTCGCGTCGCGTTGACTTGGGTCGAACGACTCGGGTTTCTGCGGCTTGAGTGCGCTTCGACGTTCCGGCAGCGCTTCCGCGCCAGTCGACGTGTTGGGCGCAAGAGTTGGCGTGGCATGATCATAGGGGTTAGAAGCCAATTCACGAAGCTGTTGCATTTCAGCTCGTACCTGTCGATTTTCCAGCGTCAACTCTTGAAGTTGGCGCATGAGTTCGGCAAGCGTGTTGCCCATGTCGTGGGGGACTGCGTGCATGGTTTCGTCCATGTTCGCTCAACGACTCCAAGTCTGCAAGTCGGCACCGCGGGACGATGACGTCGTAGTCTCGTCGTCGACGGTCGCTCGTTGGAAGTCGCTCCCCGTGAAGGCTCTGATACCAAGTGTTAGGCCCGACGGCCTAAGTCCGCTAAAGAATTAGCGGGGTCGACTAAGTCGAGGATGAAACGCGGCGGAAGACTTTGGCGAAAGAACTATTGGCGAAATAGGCGAAGAAGTTACTGAGTAATTGAAGAAGAGTTGAATGAGAATTGATTGATAATGGCAAGTACAAGCAAGGTTTATATAGCATGCAAGAAACAAGGTTGGAAAGTGGAATGTGGGACCAAGAATTGGAGTGCAAGAAAAGTAGAGTGCCACGTGGCACTAGAGAATCTGAGAAGATAAGGATAATGGTGACTAGGAATGTACTGTTCGGAATGAACAGTAAACACCCCTCTAACAAAAAGAGACCTTTTTTCTGAACGTCTACACCAAAAGACCCCCCCCTAAAGGGAGCTCTCCACACACCACAGATGCTGGACACATTCGTGGAGATGCGTTATGCGTGATGTGGGTAGGTGCTTTTACTCAACCGCTCCGTACTGTTCTTAATCAGTGTAGAAACCCTCGCTCAAAGCTAGCCACAAAATGGCCCTCTTCGTTCGATACAGGTACGTACTGTAACGAAGTGTTTACGTACAGTGACAGGACATGTGAAATCACGAAACGAAACGTTGCCCTTGACCCAACCGGCCCGTGGAGTGGAGATACGCATCAAGTCGTCTCGCTTGTCAAGCTATTACGATCGACGATCACGATCTACGTCCCAAAAATCGACGATGCACACGAGTCTCCTTGCGACGGTTCTTGTCGATGATTTTGGCAGGCAGCCACAGTTTTGTTTATGCACGTAGCAGAAAGGCGACAAAATGAACCTCCGACCTGCCCGCTGCGAAACGGACTTTTACAGGTGGTAACATCACTCTCGTTCTTCGCAAAACCTCCAGTGTATCAGAGTGCGATAGAATTCAGAGCACAACCAGCAAGTTTATGCCAGGTTGATTGCACATCCCCCAACGTGTTACTTTCCCGAGAACTCTCTGCAGCATCATATGAGACTCGAATTGAAACAAATCCCTGTGCCTGAGTTCCCCACTCTTTTATGGCTCCCTCACTTCTCCAGCCATTCTTTTGTGTGGTTGAGACACTTCTCGGTGATGCAGAAAGCGTGGTTTAGCACGGAATGCGGGGCGTAGATTAATGAATGAGAGGCGTGGATCACTATACTCTGCCACGAGACTCTCATTATGAAGGTCTTATGGTTACCCTTCGCTGCACACACAATAGTTACTAGCGTCCATATCTATGGTCCCTCTTCTGTTCCTCCCGCACCCACGTGCGAATTTCGTCCAAGCCTGTCAGTAGTAAATTTCTTAGAAGTGACTCCAATTCCGTCCAAGCCTATCAGTTGTAGTGCCACGGTGTTGGTACTGAGGGTTTGCCAGCGTCGCCTAGGGTCGCATAGGGTCGCATAGAATCGCACAGAATTGCACGGCATCCCAAAGTTTCAGCATGAGTCGCAGGAGCAACGCGAAGGTGCAGCAGTCAGTGGTGCCGCAGAGAGCTACCGTGCTGTCGTTTGCTTCGACGTTTTCCGTCAACGGGTGCCGAGAATCTCGGTTTCCGTCAACCAGCCACTCTGTCTTAGACACGCCGAGTGCTGGAGAAACGGCGAAATTAGCGAAATTCGCGACTGCTGCGACAGCAGCAGCGGAGGCGACGGCAGCTGCGGCTGCGGCGAGGCTTCCCCCTCCGCGCCTCTCCGCGCTGTCGTGCGGACGATCGTCCGTTTCCGCTGCGACCGATGAAGCCGCGTTTCGCCGAGCAGGCACCGTCGCAGACGACGTTTGGGGCGAAAGAAGCAGCGTCGCCCGCGAGGACGGCGACGGCGGCGGCGACGGCCGCGCTGGAGGTCGCGGCGACGGCGACGGGAGCGGCGTGAAAAGCGGCGGAGGGAAGAGGAGTGCCGGCGCGAAGGACGGGCAGGCGCAGCTGGTGTTCTACGTGGGGATTGGTCGGCGGTCGGACGGCGCGGTTCTCGTGGATCATGGGAAGCAGAGGAAGGTTCTCGGAACCTTGCTGTCTGCTGTGATTCTGGAGCTGCCATGCCACGTCAGCAGATACTCGCTGGTACGCACCAATTGTTGGTTAGAACCTGGTAGTTTGTCAGGCTTAGGTTGGTGCGATTACGGGATGGCTATAAGGAAGTGCACCAACCTAAGCCTCACGTAATGGGGAAGCTCATCACTTTACATGGGGAGTGATGAGCCGAGTGTATCATTACCGGGAAATCGACTCGAAAGTCGATTCACTAGCCTCTACGCTTTCCGCTTCCCCCGTTTCCCATCCCCACGGCCACAGTTTGCCTGCCTCTGACCTCTCATTGCCCCTTCTGCTGCACGCAGGCTCTCTCTGTCTCTCTCTCTCTCAAGCGGTCCGTGTATTAGATCCGAGCAAGGTACAGACATGCACAAGGTTATAAAAAGCAATGCACCTCAGCCTCTAAAACCCTCATATCCTACCTACTCTCTCTCTCTCTCTCTCTCTCTCTCTCTCTCTCTCTCTCTCTCTCTCTCTCTCTCTCGTATTCTTCTCCCCCATTTTTCCCACCCCATTTTTTCTCCCCAATTCCTCTCCGCTCCCATTCCTCTCCTCCATTCTTCTCTCTCGTTCGTCTCCCCATTTTCCACTCTCATTCTTCTCTCTCTCCCATTCTTTCCTCCCAGCCTTTTCTGCCGTGGTCCTTCCGATCCTTCTCTGCCATTCTCCTCCCCCCTCCTCTTCCATTCTTCACACCCTCTCAGAACTTATGCTCCATGACAATCCCTCCAAAAAACCATCCTGCTCTCCTCACCCCAGTTCCTCGCCACCTCTCGCCTTTTTGCTTCCTGCCTGCGCTACTTGCTCCTCTCCCACCCTCCGCCCCCCCCCTTCTCCCTGGGGGCTACGGGCGCACCAACCTGCTCATCTCGCCTGACCTCCTCACCGCCCCTGACCGCTCCTGACCGCCCCTGACCGCCCCTGACCGCCCCTGACCGCCCCTGACCGCCTGGTCCCCTCCCCTTCGTTATGACAGATTGCTCCCTCTCCCACTTGCTTGCTCCTCTTCTTTTTACCTTCCACACTCCCTTCTTCCCCACCCCTCTTTCGCCCCCTACCAGGGCTATGGGCGCACAAACCTGCTCTTCTCCCCCGCCCCTGACGGCCTGGTGCCCTTCGCCATGTCCCACTGCTCCCTCGCCCGCTTGCTTGCCTCTCTCCTCCCCTTCCCATCCACCCCCCCACCATCTCCCCTCCCCTCCATCAGGGTTACGGGCGCACAAACCTGCTCTTCTCCCCCGCCCCTGACGGCCTGGTCCTTTTCGCCATGACGGATTGCTCCCTCTCCCGCCCCCACGCCTTCTCCCTCCTTGCCCACGTGCACCACGCCTTCTCTCTCCTTGCCCACGTGCGCCACGCCTTCTCTCTCCTTGCCCACGTGCGCCACGCCTTCTCTCTCCTTGCCCATGTGCGCCACGCCTTCTCTCTCCTTGCCCACGTGCGCCACACCTTCCTCTCCTGCCTGCTGCCTGCTGCTTGCTGCCTCCTGCCTCTTGACTCCTGCCTCCATTCCACCCTCCTCTGTGCTCCCTTTGCTCCCCCCCTTTCCCCTCCTCCCTTCTCTCCCCCCAACCAACTCCCTCAGGGCTACGGGCGCACCAATCTGCTCTTTTCCCCCGCTTCGGACGGCCTGGTCCCCTTCGCCATGACTGATTGCTCCCTCGCCCGCCCCCACGCCTTCTCCCTCCTTGCCCACGTGCGCCAAGCCTTCCTCTCCTGCTTGCTACCCCACCCCTCTCTGGACCTCCCTCTGCCCGCCTTTGATTGGCTGCCGAGCCTGGAGTACGACCAAGGTTCGGCACAGGCCCGGGTACAAGAGCAGCCGCCGGGCCAAGACCAGAGCTCAGGATTGGAACGAGAGGGCACCCACGAGCCGCTGCAAGGCGAGGGACGAATCTCCGGATTGGATGGAGCGTCTGCTTCGGATGCTGCTCAAGAAGGCTCGGCCGAGGCAAGTTCAGGGTCGACTCAAAACTCGGCTCAAGAAGGCTCGGCTGAGGTACAAGAGGTGATGCAGGAACGAGATGAGATTTCCACTTTTGAGATGTCTCAAAAGTCTTCTGAAGCAGCTCAAGAAGGCTTGGCTGAGACACAAGCGGTGCTGCAGGATGAAGGGCGAACCTCTGGGGTGGATGAAGACGCGTCTGGCTCGGATGCTGCTCAAGAAGGCTCGGCCGAGGCACAAGAGGTGATGCAGGACCGAGCTGAGGTTTCCACTGCAGGAGCGCCAGGCACCGGTGTGGATGTTACCAGTGCAGCAGTTACCAGTGCAGCAGTTACCAGTGCAGCAGTTGCGAGTGAAACAGTTAGCACTGTAGCCATTGCCAGTGCATCTGCCATGAGTGTAGATGTTACAGATGCAGCAGCGGTTACCAGCGTAGCTGCTACGGGTGTAGGTGTTGCAGATACAGCAGTTAGTGCAGCTGCTACGGCCGAACCAATCACAGAGGAGCAGCAAGAGAGCCGAAAAGTTAGTGACAGTCAGCAGGCAAGGGAACAGGCTGTGGAACCCATTGTTGCATCTCAGCCGTTCCTCAGGCCCATCCAACGGTCGAGATCATCCTGCCACTCCGCCGCCCTATACCAGGAGCTACTGGGGCCGCATTTAGAGTACCTAGTGTGGGTTGTTCGGGGCAAGCTCCTGCCTAAACCGCGTATGGACCTCTATCCAGACGCGCCGCACGCGTACCTTCTAACGAAGCGGCTTGTAACGAATCCTGCGCTGGCAGACACGCAGGCAGGCGAGGAGACAGCAGGAGGGAGCGGGGATTCGGATAGGGATGCGGATGGGTCGGGGGCAGCAGTGGGTATGAGTATAAGTACCGGAAAGAAGGCGCTAAGTGCGAGAGAGAGTCTTATGAGTGAAGTTTCTGACGCGCTAAGGGATGTGGAGGATGGGGATTTGGGGGAAGCACTGGTGGGGAGGAGGAGGGCGAGAGGACAGCCGCCGCAGGCGAGGCGGCGGCGGAGCAAATCGGTCGGCGAGGATCTGCTGTTCCGGAGGGAAACGGACGGTGGAGATTCGTCCGTGGGGGAGAACAGAACTAGCGGTTCAGCATATTCCCTCGGCGGTGGCGGTGGCGGTGGCGGTGGTGGTGGTGGCGCCTGTAACGGCAGCAGGGGAGAGGATGGGAGAGTTGGTAGGTGTAGCAGTGGGAGTGGGAGTGGGGAGGCGGATTCAGTAGGGAGTGAGGACGAGGACCTCTGGTGCGATTTCCCTCCCTCCAATTCAGGCCTCATGTATGGCTTGGGAAGCCCCGTGGTCTCTACCAGGTCTCGGGCGTTTTCCCGAGCGGCAGGGGATGTGTTTTCTAAGAGTGTGGTGATGAGTGGAGCGATGGGGATGGGGATGGGGATGGGCATGGGGATGGGGATGGGCATGGGGATGGGCATGGGGATAGGCATGCATGCTGGGAGGCCGTCGGCACAGCGGCTGAAGCTGCTGCAGTTGTCGCCGCCATCTCTTGCTGTCTCTGCTGCGGCAGCTGGTGGTGGTGGGGGAGCAGGAGGGGCGGCCGTGGGGGCAGGGAATGCAGGGGGGGGTTGGGCAGGTGGGGGATTGCAACAGATGCAGCAGCATCAACACTACCAGCAGCATCAGCAACAGCAGCAGCAGCAGCACGGTTTTCCTCACTCACAGGGCCAGGGTCTAGCCCCCCTAGGCCGTCTTGGTGGTCCCACGTGCTCTCCCTCCAATGCTGCTAGCTCTGTTACTCCTCTCTCCTCCTTCCTGTCGCCGTCCCCCTCTTCCTCTCTCCCGCGCTGCCACCCCTCGGCACTAGCCGTGGCACCAGCTTGGGGTCAAGCGGCAGTGGCAGGACCGATGGTGTCAGCAGTAGCATCAGGAGACACGGTTTCAGCTGCGAATCCCACAGTAGGCTTGGCAGGAGGCTTGGCAGGAGGTGCAGCAGGCTTCTCTACACGCCCTATCGTCTTTGAGAATGAGATTAGCATACCCGAGATTTCTGCTGGTGCCAGCTCAGCAGGGACAGCTGCCAGCTCAGCAGGAGCTGAGGGGCCAGCGAGAAAACCAGCCACAGATGCTGCAGCTGTTGCTGCCACTTCGGCTACTGATCTTGGTGATTCTGATCTTGGTGATTTTGGCGTCAGCAATTTTGGCGGCAGTGATTTATTAGGTGCATCTCCAGGTGGGGGGGTTGTGGGGGGTGTGGGAGGTGTGGAAAGGAGTGCATCTGGCACTGAGGCAGGTAGTTCACAGGGATCCACCGCCAAGGACGCTTCCAAATTCCGCCGGACCTTCTCCAAGCCTCTCTCGCCGATGCTGCGCGGCGCATGGAACATCTTCCGAAGCAGCACTGCGACCGAACCTGTGGAGTCGCCTCGGACGATGTTCAAAAGCAGCACTGCAGTTGAAGGCATGACAACCAGTGAGGTGGCAGATTTGGAAGTCGGCGGGGAGAACACTGCAGCTTCTGCTTCTCCTTCTCCTGCTGCTGCTCCTGCTCCTTCTCCTGCTGCTGCTGTTGCTGCCACTCCTGCTGCAGCCGCCAGTGCAGCTGTTACCGCTGGTGAAAGCACTCCTCACGTGGCGTTCGAGCACAGGCTGTCTCTAGCAGCCATAGGCCGGCGGCGCTCCTTCGCAACCCCAGACAAAAGAAATTCTGAAAGTTCTCGCAACAGGAGACGGTCATACGCTGGTGGTTTTGGCGCTTTTGGAGGTGGTGGTGGTGGTGGTGGTGACATTGGTGGGGGAGGCGGCAGTGTGGATTCGGGTAGTGGGAGCAATCGGTGGGGTGGGCTTGCCAACATGAAGCCTATGTGGCCGAGTTTCCGCTCCAAGAAAGATGCACAAGCTGATGATTCATAGTGCTTTTTTAGGCGCCTAAAAAAAAAAACGCGAAGCCTGTATGTGGCCAAGTATTAGCTCCAAGAAAAATGTCCAGTCTGATGAATCGTAGATTTGTAGTGCTGCTGGTTAGGTAGCAAGTTTATCAGCACTAATCTGTCACACTGCCACCTTATTACGGTATTCCTGTGATGCTCACATTGTGGTTGGCTATGTGTAGCCATCTTGAAACAGGGCGTCTCATTTGCTGAGCAATGGTAGACATGTAGCTGTGCTTTCCATCCTCACAACTCAGCCTGGCTCCCTAATGTGATGGGTTTTCCTCACTACATACAGAAGCTCCTACAGCATCCATCTGCAACACCATTTTTCTCCATGTACAGCTCGTTTTGGATTGCTGCTGTGTTGCACTGCAATGCATGTGAAGATGCAGTGCACAAGCATTCAGTTGCTTATCAATATCATTCTTCTAAATGTGCAGCATGCCCAGTCCTGTGTAGATGATGAACAAAGAACAACCACAATTACTGTAGCTAAGCATCACCTACCGTTGTAGCTTATCAGTTAGCACTTGGCAGTTCTCATTGGGAGATAAAGAATTTTATGCGATGGGTATTTAGATACCAGTACCCTTATGGCAAAAACCACCAGAAAACTATTGAAGTCAAAAGAGTACTAAAATCATAAAATTTACTAAGACGCGAACGGCATTAACTCGCCTCCTATGCTATATGTGGATTCACATCGCTTGAGGCGACTTGGAAAACCCCAGCTAAAATTCCCCTACAAGCGAGCGCACGTGTAAATAACGACCAACAGATAACCCTCAGTCGTCTAAAGCTCTAATCTCCAATTCTTTAGGAGGCATGAAATCTGCAGCCGAAATATGCGGTTCCCGACGATGCGAGATTTTCTTCGGCTCCTCACCTGGACCGTGGATCCAAAACTCAAACTCCTCTGGAGCCGTTCCTGGGAAAACGGCAAAGATCTCCGTCCGCACAGCAGATAGCGACCATTCTTTATCGATCACCACCGTTCCCAACACATTGCCGGCGCACCGTATCTCGATGTCGATCATATTCGTTAGGTCCGCCTCCATTGTGGCTTATCTGGAGGCAGCAGCACATTCAGTAACGGAAGACAGAAACCTTTCTGCTGGCACCAGCAACAACCGCTTCTAAAACGCAACCATCGAGCCTTTCAGTCGAAGCCAATGCAGGATTAAGAACACGCCCGATAAAGGAACACACCGACAATGCAGGATCTAACGCAATGAATCAGCCTGGGTTACACAGCCCTGACCGCAAAGCAAGGCTGTGCTCGGACGAGCCGCAATACGGGTCTAGAATCCAAACCCTAGAGGCCAAAGGCAAGCAGTACAGGAAAAGGTTTGAAGAGGCAAAATCGGTGGCGGAGGAAGGCTGGAGTAATCAGGGGTGTGGGTGGATGGTGGGCGCGGAGGAGATGGAATTGGATCTTGTTGGGTGGTGTTTGTGTGTGGCTCGGTGTCTGCGAACACCGTGTACAGTATTTTCATTACGTGAATTCTGTTCTGATTTGAACAAACGCGCTTTCTTCCGGACTGAACGAACGCGGATTCAAACTGAACCGTGTAGAACCCGCTTCAAAGGTGGAACCTTCGGTTCGGAGGGGCACCTCCTGATCGAAAATGAACCGCATTTTCAACAAGCAAGGTTGCGGGTCATGCCTGGTTCAAGGGCTTGACCAGGGGGAGAATTTTCTGCACCAGAGACTGTAGAGGATGTGTGCATGTATCGAATACATGGCTCCGCTCCAGTCATCAAATGTGGATGGGAAGAAACGAACTTTGGTAACCCGTAAATCGCAACAAGCGCGCGAAACGGACTAAATGACATAACAGAGATGCTGTACACGCGTGTGCTACCTCAAGTCAATAGAATATCGATGCAATACAAGTCCACATCTAGGGTGACAACTTGATTTACCCAGAAGAAAAAAGAGGGGTGCCCCAAGTTGGTTATCTACCTTTTTTCCATGAGGTTACGGGTATGCTATATCAAGGCTGTGGAAAAGATGTGCTTCACTTCAATAAGAGCGTGTTCCTATCCTCGTATCAAGACAACATAGTAACAGGCTCACACTGAAAATTCCCCTAGACCAAGCAAAAAGTACATTCTTGATCTTGGGAATATAAACGCATGACTTAGTGCGTTTCTGTAGTATCGAACCTCACCCGATACTAAAGCACAACAAAAGGGGTATGAAGTCAAAAAGGCGCGTACCACATCAAACCGCAACTGGAGGTTGCGAGTTGTAACCGCCTGGAGGTTACGTAACAGCAAGCGACGCTTCAGTGAACAGTAACCGCCTCGATAGTCGAAGCGTTGCGCGTCTGGATAAACATAACCGCTTCCTGTAATCTATCTTTCCTATATATTCCTGTATGCTCTTTGCTTTAAATTATAATTTTTAAAAGTGTAACACTTTTTCAAATTTCGTATTGTGAAAGCGAGGACGTGGCCAGCAAAGCAAAGGTAGCGGCTCGACGCTACTCACCCCTCTTTTGCCTACAAAAGAGGGACGTGGGTTCAGTCGCCTTCACCCACGTTCTTCATTTCCAACTTTTCTAGTTTACTTTCCTAGTTCTCGTTCATCCTGGCGAAGACGCAATCTCTCCCGAGGTTCAAGTCCCCGTCGACCCTTCTCACAGACATTCTCCAACACAACCTGGCGAATATGGTTCCCGCGAACACTGTACTTAATCGAGAGGCGGAAAAGACCAACAACCCCGGAAACGCTTCGGAGCACGCGAACGCGCCCGGGGCAACCGACCGCCGCGGAAAACGCCCTGCCGAAGACAATTTCGGCGAGGGCACTTCAGGAGTCGAAGTGTTGCTCGGGAGCAACTCTCGAGCCCCCTCCGAAGAAGCACGCGCGGCTGTGAAACAGTCGCGCGTGCCTCCTGCTGACGAGCGTGTGGCCGCCAGGCAGCCGCGCGCGCCAGTCAAGTCAACGCCGGCTGACGCGGATGGCGACGCTGGTCAGCCGGGGCCCACCCTGCAGAAGCGACAGAAGGCAGCGACCCCAGCAGAAGCCGCCCCAGTCAACCCCCTCGCGTCCCTCACTGCGCAGCAGATGCAGGCACTGCTTTCGATGTTACAGCAGCAAGCCCCAGTAACAATCGCAACTTCTTCCGACTATAATTCTGCACCTGCAAAAATCGAAAATCAGAAAGAAGTCAACGCTCCCCGCGCAAACAAGGCTGCTCGCGTCAACGAGACCACTGCCGCACCTCTTCCCGCTCCCGTACCGGCACCAATCGCCGCTCAAGCCGACAGCGACGACTCAGACAACGATGATGGTGAGGCCCCCAATAACATCACCCGTCGTCGCGTTATTGCACCAGCACCTTCTCTTCCACCCCTCAACCCCACACCCGCACCTACCACCTTCATGCGCAAGGGCGTGCGCGATCAGGCGGAGGTTTTCTCTGCTATCCAGGCACACCTGAAGCACGTCAATTTCAAGCTCCAGCACGGCGACATCGAAAGCGCACTCGCCAACGTTGCGGAAATCGAAACGCTCATCCACAAGCGCTTCGAAGTCCTCTTGGTGGCGGACGAGGCGGGGTTCGAGGCTGCCGATCGTTTTCAGCTATACCAGTCCAAGAGCGTGTTAACCCCCCGCTCTTACAAGCTCGCCGTTGCGGATGTGGCGGCTCTCAAGCGTGCACGCGCCGGCTACACTCGCGGTAATCGCATGCCTACCCGAGATGGCGACACGGAAGGCAAGGGCATGCCTCCCGCAAGCTGCCACGAGCCCCGCTTCAAAGGGGTGTGCTTCCGATGCGGCCAGCCCGGCCATATGGCAAATGCTTGCCCTATGGGAGGGCGGGGCGCTCAAGGCCCCTCACCCGTCGTGTGAGGAGGCACACGGGGCGGAGCCCCTTGCCACTATGCCGGGGGGCGTAGGTGGAGCACCGAGGGTGCATGGCTGGTAGCTAGCAGGGAGTATGTGCTGGAGGCCTTAGAAATCCCTAGCCATAAGGGTAGCTATGGGGGCAGTACATGCTATGTACCCATGTGTGGTAATAAAAGTTTGCCTCTGGTTTTCAAAAAAAAAAAAAAAAACACCCACACATGCAACCAAACAAAGTGGGAGAGAAGGAAGTAAAGCCAAGGCAGCCATTCCAGCCCAAGCGCCCCCCTGACTTGAAGGGAAGAGTACGAAGGAAAGAGGAAGAAAACGAGATGGAAGGAAAACGTGCGAATACGGGGCAGAGTTCGAGAAGAAGAGCAAATGGAAAGATCGGAAGAGGAGTGAGCAAGAGAACGAGAGAGCGAGCGAGAGAGAGAGAGAACGCAAGGAAGAGAAAGGGAGAGAGAGAAAGAGAGAGAGAGAGGGAGAGGGAGGGAAAGAGAGCGAGAGAGAGCGAGAGAGAGCAAGAGCGAGAGAGAGAGAGCGAGAGCGAGAGAGTGAGAGCGAGAGAGAGTGTGTGTGAGAGAGAGAGAGAGAGAGAGAGAGAGAGAGAGAGAGAGAGAGAGAAAGAGAGTGAGAGCAAGAAACATGGAGAAAGGAAGACTAGAGGAGGGAGGATACAAGGAGAGACGGAAGGCGTAGCACCGAGTATGCATAAGCCCCCGGGCTGGTCCTATGGGCAAAGGCTAATCACCCAATACACCACACCCCGGTTGCCCCACGTGCAGTAGCGGACGACAAGTGGCGAGAGGCGGAATGGGACCCATACGAGAACGCGGTCACAGATGACACAGTGAAGGTCATGCGCAACCGATTGCGTAACCAACTGCATTGGTAGATATCGTGGTGCGACAGCAGTTTTATCATCTCTATTATTGCCAGGGGATATTGGCTGCCTTGGAAAACTACAGAATCGCCACCCTTCGAAACCACAAACCACGCGGGTGTTCATGCACACACCACGTTCACTCGTGAGGCCATTCGCGACTTAATCACATCGGGCGCGGCAACCAAGGTCGCCTCGCGGACTGCGCTCTCGTGCGTGAGCCCACTCAACGTGGTAGAACAACGCGACAAATGTCGCCTCATCCTCGACCTACGCAAGGTCAACCAACACCTCCAAGTCACTAAATTCAAATACGAGGGCCTGAATCGCGTTTCGGAGATCATTCGACGCAACGACTGGCTGTTCACCATTGACCTAAAATCGGGCTACCACCATGTCGAGATGCACCCTTCGTGTTGGAAGTTCCTAGGCTTCCAATTCGAAGGCGAGTTCTACTGCTTCCGAGCCTTGCCGTTTGGACTGGCGACAGCACCTTTCGTCTTCACCCAGTTGATCAAGCAATTGGCCAAACGCTGGCGGGCGCGGGGCGTGCGCGTAGTCCCATATGTGGACGACCTGCTATTCCTCTGCGACTCGGCGGAGCACGCACGCAAGACATGCACAGAGGTTCTCCGAGACCTGGGGGCGGCAGGTTTCGTGATCAACGAAAAGAAATCACGCCTCCAGCCGGCCCATCAAACACGATTTCTGGGGATGGAGCTGGACACGACATGCGGCATGTTTAGCATCGGCTCCAATCGGCGAGCGCAGTTCCTCGACAAGCTGCACACACTCATCTCCAAGGGGCAACGCGGCCAGCAAGTCCCAATTCGGGAAGTCGCTCGTATCACCGGAATGTTGAGCTCTATGTCCCTCGCATTGGGCACAACAGCACGCGCCTTCAGCCACGAGCTGCTACAATTGATCGAGACAGCGGCATCCTGGAACTCAAGGATCGGGCTGACACGGGCCGCCATCGAGGAGCTAATCTTCTGGCAACTGCACTTCGACCAGTTTAACGGTGCCCCATTTCACCTAAGCCATCAATTCGATGCTGTGATCCACGTCGACGCGAGCGCTCACAGCTGGGGCGCCACCCTCACCAAGTTTACCGACGCGTCGTACGAAGCAAGCGCCAGCATGCCGAGCGAGCTCCTCCCAACCTCAAGCACTCAAAGGGAGCTCGAGGGTGTCCTCTGGGCGCTACAGACATTTGCGTCCCATCTCACAGGCGGCCACGTTTTGGTTCGCGTGGACAACCAAGGAGTCATGTTTATCTTGCGCAAAGGGGGGTCCAGTCAACCTCGGCTCAC